AAGACATCTAAGTTTATGAAGTTTGTAAGCGTGCCATTCTCAACCTTACATTTAAGTTTGGGTTCAGAAACAACACTAGGTCAATGAGCGCAAAATCTTTCTCGCGTCAAAAAAAATGTATTGGATTTTGTCATACGAAAGTCATAGACAAATTTTATGACATGTTAGGCGGCTAGTTCAATTAAAAAAAAATGTTAAGTATTAACTGTTTTGCTAGTGATTTTTGTAACATTTATATTTACCATAATTGTCATATATTTTAGAAAAGATAGCTTGTAACATATACTGTATACGAGTATATAGCATTATGTATGATGGGGTGAACTTTAATAAATAAATAAATTATTTACAAGTTTTTGGTAACTCTTGGACACAAATATCAACAACGCGTTGTTGATATTTGTATATATCAATGATTACACATAGCAACTGTGTTTGCTATGTTTTGGTCCGTAAAAATTTTAATTTATTCTTGCGTGTAACACCCTCAATCTCAATGTCAACTCTATGAATAAAATGTTTCACACAGACAGCTCGCATGGTAGACGATTATAAAACACGGCAGCTTATCAGCGAATCGACACGCGATGACAGGCTATAGGGGTAATCTTCCCTTACATATTACGTACATGTTCTTTGTAATTAACTCATTACAGACCTAATTATTTTCCATTTAATTACATTTTCCGCTTGCGAGGGCTTTAGGTTTTAATGAAGTTAAGATTTTCTTCATACATTAGACGTGCGAGTTTCTTGGTGTTCTCTTTTTTTTTTTCTTTCTGCTCCGCGGCAATCTGTTGAACACAACAATAAGCCACTACTTTGTCCGATACGAGTGTATCCGCTTAGGCTTTTGAGCGTGGTGAGACACTTCTCCAGTAGGTGTCTCATTCCATCCTGAGGAATCTACTTTTTAGGGTTGCGACACCCTATTCAATATTTTGTGTTGAAGGCTTTGATCTCCACTGAGTTTGAGGGAAAGCTCATTTTTGTGGTTTGAGAGTATTTTTTGGTAATTGATGCTATATCTTTCTATCTCCTGTTTGACAGTTGGTATATTTAAATCAAGGTATATGTTCTTATTACTGATGTATTGAGGGATGTTAAGGGATTGGTGTTCTCATCGCTGTTTTAATGGTTAAACTGAAAGGTAGGTGATAGCACTCATAGAAGTTCATTTAGTAACGATTACTCAAATCCAAGTAAAGATTTTAGATTCAGCTGGATAAATGTTTCATGATGTTTTATTCAATTTAGTCGTTAATGGAGCATTAACATATTTGACTTATCTGTACTGTAATATTTGTACAAGCGAACATTAGAGAAAGTGCTTTTAGGCAAATCTAAGCAGAATATATAAAAATAAAATAAATGTCAGATTTCTGTATCTGTTTCATGATCATTTGTAAATCTAAAAGGCGAGTAGGTGATCAGTCTCTTGTGCCTGACACACGCCGCCGACTTCTAAGGGAAGCCGGTTTGCTCTAAATGTTTTCCTTCACCGTTCGAGCGAATGTAAATACATAGAAATAAATTTCATTGGTATACAGCCGGGGATCGAACCTACGACCTCAGGGATGAGAGTCGCACGCTATAGGCCAACACTGCTCATATTTATATAAATATACCTATATATATATATAACAAATATTATATATATATATATAGAATATTTGTTCTTTATGTTTAGGGCTTGTTAATTACCAATCTACCGTGACAAATATAGAGCGTTACCGATGTTTTGTTTTCTATATCGAAGTACTTAACAACTCTTTCGAAATAAAGAACGTCTCGAATAACAAAATCGTAATTGGTAAAGTTTTCCCATTTTCCGATATTATTGCTTTCGTCTCGACGATATAACTCTTCCTATAATGGTATTGTTTTTATAACCTTGCAATCTAAGTTTAATGTATAGTCTAATAAAGATATTTTTTTTCTTAGCATGGCAAAGCGTGACGCTGATTTTGGTCGAATGACAGTTGAACACCAATAGATATGTTTTTGTTTAAAAAAGAAGCCGATTTTGACAGAAATAGGAGAATAAGATTATTCTTCAAAAGAAATATTTACGAATTGTTTTACGACATGTTAGCACAACTGCTAGGCACACGATTCCTAGGGAGCCCGTTAAACCCAACCCAACCATTTTTATTTATACCAACAAGTCTGATCAAAAGTCGACGGCGTACGCATCTTATTAGCCTGAAAGTATCAGCAAGGAAACAGATACAGAAATGCCATGAGGAAGGGCCGTTTTTGTTATAATTACGACTGGTATAATGTAGAAACCGGGAAACATGTTAAAAATGCCATTTTTGTGTAGAGGGGAACAATTGTTATCAATCAAAATGTGCGGAATGCGGTCAAATTGTTTGAGTGTGTTCTTAAAACATTTAGGGCTTAATTAGGGTTTAATTATATTTAAGTGTCTTTAAACACGATACATTTGAAGTACGAGTTAAAAATGAAATGAATATCATATGAAAAGTATTGTGGAAACATTTTTCGTCTATTTAATAAGTGGATTACTGTGACATTTCGCCAAATGTCAGAATACTAATTTCCTTTTTCAAAATGGCGCATACTAATACATAGACAATATTAGGCTTTGGCTTTATAAATTTAAAATTGTTCTAAGAAAAGCGGGTGTACAAATCGTTGACCTCATAGCCATTGTTAGATGGAAGTAGCCCTTTCGACCCAAATACCCCCACAGTTTCCGTTGGGGCGACGTTTCCGATTTAACCACGGTTAGTCTAAGAGATTAGTGACTAAAAGCCAGGTTTTGCCATGTAGCGGCTCTTATGATATTTTTAACTGCTCTTTGACAGCGCTCAAGACGAGTATGTGTCTATATTTATAAGAATATGGACCTAAGAGTGTAATAAAATTTATTCCAAAGACATAAAATTTATTTGTGAAATAATTTTGTTTTATTTAAATTTTTGTAATAGCGGTTCCAATTAATTTTTTACAAAAATTAACTGCTGTAAAATGTGATGAGGAGCATCTGATGGTTGAATGAGCCTACAAACATTTTATAAAAAAACCTTGGCGATTTAAAAGATAAATTATTGCCAGTTCTTGTTCTATGCTCTTGATTTGAGAATTAGCTGTAAATGTAAATTTAAAACCATTTTCTGACGTTCATAAATCATAAGTGTGCATTAAGACAATACATGGTATATATTAATACATGGTATTTTGATCTCTTACGCTAATCGTCTAAGGGTCGATGTTTTCAGAAGCAATTTGATAACACTTGATTTACAAGCACATCGACTGGGTTATTAACCTACTTACTTAATTAAAAACATCAAAGTAATTTATTTCAATAAAACCTAAATGTAACAAACAAATGTACACATTCATCGCGGGGTTCTAGTGCACAGGCGCTAATTAAAGATTTATGATAGATAGTACGGGTGACCCCAGAGCTGGTGCTTTCCTGGTTCCTCAGCAGCTGCCAGCGATAAAAGACGGCCACCGGGACCAAAATTTTTGAATTTGTTTTAATTTTCTTTTCATTAATTTTTAATTATTTTTATTATTACTATGTAGGTTTAGAGAATTGTAAACATTTAATTATATTACAATTTATTTCGGACATACATAAAAACCTGTTTTTATTTATTTATGCTATCTAACATCACACATGTTACAATGAGGACAATCAGATACTTATGACAATATGTTAGAAAAACAATATACACGTGTGAAAATCATATGAGAAGTTTAGAAGGCGCTGCGCTAACCAGATAGAGGATTATCAAAGCTATTCCCTAAAGTAGTACGGTAAAATGATTTAAATCGTAAAAGATATTAATTTCAGTCACTTCATTTGTTATTCAAAAGAATAATGCTTATAATGCTGAAGAGTGCTTACTGGCTATACTCTCGGGGCGTAACTCCGACGATTAAGGTAATTGCCGCGCTTATAAAGTAAGCCTTAGTGAACAATGTACGGCCTTGATATAAGCCCTAAATGTATTGATGCTTGTTATATTATAATCTATACAAATAAAAAATGAATTGCAACATATGTTGCTAAGAGAAAAACTTGAAGACGGCTGGTACCAATTCGAGTAATTTATTACATGTACTCTGAGGCAGGTTTTTACGGAGAAAATTTTGAAAAATTTAAATGTTTTATTCTGAAAAAGTGAATTCTATGGCCTAGCATAGCAAAATGCTCCATATATTGGTAACTACTAAAAAGATAGGCTAAGTAAAAAAACATGTGTAAATAAAATCAGTGCCTAATAAAATGCTTATTATATATATATATTAAGACGTATTCCAGTAGCTACTAAATAAGTTACATCTGCTACTTGTGAATTGTATATCTACTATCTGTATACATTGTACTGTATGTATTTATTAACGCCAAAAAAAATTGATTTATCGCAAAATCACCAATATCCGTTCAGAAACAAACATCGCGGAAAGAGCCTATTAGGGGTTCAACCCCTCATCGCTAAAGGTACTTGATCTAAGAGCCAGTTAGCACGTGGTTATTGCAAAACGCAGGTGTTGTCAAGCGAAGATAAACCACTCCTTATATGGAAATTGTATTCGTTTTTACAACAAACTCCCAAGCCAAAAATTAAAGAAAATTAGAGGATTATCACTGGATAAACTCAGAGCTCTCGTTAAACGTAAATTAATCAATAAAGCTTTTTAAAAATTTCACGATCCTAATCTTTAGGAGCAAATCAACTCCAGTTCAAACAATTTGTATGACTCAAAACTTGGCGATTAAAAAGAGTGGCGGAGAGTTTCTTGCCAGTTCTTTTGACAGCTCTACGCCCTTGACTTGCGAACTGGTAGTAAATGTTAATTTAGAATCAGTTTAACTTCTTTTCTGACGTCCATAAGTGTTACCTATATGAATAAAGTTATTTTGAGATTGAGTTCTAGCACTTAAGACTAACGTGCCCTAACACTAATTCACTAATTCAAATGGTTTAGTCGTTTATTAGAAATTAATTATTTACCTCGTCGCAAGCGGAGCAGCGTGGCTTCAAATTTTCGGCGTGATGTCGGCCACAGTAAAGTCGGCCGTCTTTCCAGAAGTAGACCAGGTCAACCAGCAGCTCCTGGCAAGTGGTGCAGTTGAAGCAGGCGGGATGCCATCTCGCTGAGGGTCCAGCCCGAGCCGCGGAGACACACATGTCGCCCGATGATAGTGCCTCCTCACACTGAGGACAAAAATTATATATGGATTAGTGATTAATTTTAAATTAATAATTTAAAAAACAATACCTAAACTTTACTTCAAATTTGGGTTCGTACGTAAATTAAATGTTTGAGAAGAGATTAGAATAAGAAACTATTACGGGCTGAGTTATGTAGCCTAACCACGAACTAACTATTCGAACTCTTCAATAACTCAAGTTAGTTTTTTGTTAATCCAGCATCGCAACCGTATTACATCTTTAGGTCAAAAGGAATTGACTCGGAAAGAGATTTTTTCATTTCGAAAGTGAAAATGTGAAGATTTTTTGAAGTGAAAACTTCTTGAGCGGCGTTGTACACTTTTCTTGGAATGGGTAAAAAATGTTAAACTCGCGTCAGGACACGTGACTTGATCGAAAATTCGTAAGACGGATGGACAGCTGGCGCGGCGTACTTAATGTAATATAAATTGTCATGTCATGTCAATTATTCCCTAACCATTCTGAAATATAAAAAATGCATAACCTTAATATTCAAGTTTTCACTTCTGCCGGCACTCCCGGAGTGCAACCCGTAGTTTTTTTATTTTTTATTTCGAAAGTGACAATGTCAAGAAGATTTTTCTTTTTTTATACATACAAAGTCAATATAGAATCAAAGCTAAAAAATGTTGAAAGCATCGCATAGCAAATGAAGTTCAGTGCTACAAAACGTCTAGAATTCATAAGCCGAGCGTATAAGGCGAATTTATTCTGTCCTCTGCCCATACCCTATACCTAATGGGGAGAAGGTCGATTGTTCTTAAAATGGTCGCGGGGCGAACAGCATTGTTTTTTGTAATCGTATTATTGAAGGATTTCCTAGTAGACAAGTGCACTATTAAAGAATAATTGATTCGTAATACAAAAATTTAATTAAAATTTGTCATATTTACTTATGCGTTGAATTAGGACAAAGTCGTTTATATTCTTTTCTTTCGATATTCTACAAAAAATAATAGCCTATTTGACAATGAAAAATAAAGTGTTATTGTATGTTATCTGTAAAAAAACATAGCTTAAAAAGCGTTATGGAGTAAAAGTTAATATTTTATCAAATAATCCATAATTAAAAATATTGATTTATTTTTATACGTCAGTCACGTGACACAAAGTTGTCACAGATTTGTCGAATAGAAGATTATTCTCGTAAATAACATTTATTCATCTGCCTTATATTAATACTATCTTGGAGTTTAATTTTGTCTGAGACTCCTTTTGATCTAATAAAAATATATAAAGTATTGTGTGTTAATTGTCATTCGTAAAAAACTTTACGTGTATTTACGCGTTTACAGGCACGGTACGTCATACGGACTGGTGGGACGCCATCTTGCCGAACGTAGACAACTGACAAATATTCTTGCGGGTTCTTGAATTTGTGAAATTTGAATTTATAAAGCCCATAATTAATTTTCTATTGAATATTTAAGCAGATAATATTCAAATGGATGCAGAATTATTGTCGCAGTTGTGTCACAGAAACATAATCGTATCATTGTATATGAATACTTGACAAAACCATCTAAAATTTTGTTAGGCGTTACCTACGCATTCTAAATCATGGAAACAAATACCTATGTTATTGGAGTTGCTGCTAGACACGTATTGGTTTCGAGGTATTTGGTTTTTTGTGTATATTCGCAACAGTCGAGACTCGAGACCCAAGCACGTACTACGCCTTCTGCGAAGTGAGCTGTCATTGCTTCGGTACCGTCCTTGTATCCATTCCTTATAACTTGTGTAAAGTATGAAACCTCTTTTGTATATTCACTTTAGTTTGGGTTGTTTATGGATATTTTAGGTGCAATTGATGTAGATTAAAAACGGTTTAGCGTAGTTGTTCGTTATTCAATTTTAAATTTAGAAACAAAGTTTGAGGGGTATATAACATACTGGTAGATTATAAGAAATTTAATAAAGAAAATATGGTGACGAAGACAGACGAAATTTGAATTTAGAAATAGCATTTAATATTATATTTGAACACGCAATAATTAACAGTTTAAAGATTTTCTTTATATCCTAAATTATATAAAAAAGTAAATTTTCTCAAAAGACAAAACTGATGAAGGCCATTTTAAAATTGTTTTCGAAGAATTCAAAACCTAGAACGGTCAAAACAATTCTTAAGTTAAAATATTTGCGTTAACCCACTTAAAATAATACGTGTATGTTCAATTAAAATACCGAAAAAAATTCCGTAGTTTTGTTTCACCACGCCCCACGGCATGCGCGCGCGCCTCCCGGCGCAATAATTTAGAACCTTTATATAGGAATGTGCTGAATTTGTTCGTTATTCATATGTTTAAATACCAACTTTTATGTACAGTTTTATATACTACTTTGTATAATCTCATAAATTGGGAATATATACCTATGATATAAAAGTTATCAGTCCTACTGTGCAAAGCGGGCGCGGCTACAGATTAAAATAGTAATTTCTACAAACTACGTACTACATTACAACAATAAAAATAATAATCGAAACTATATCACTTGGTGATATATTTATTTTATGTCACTGGCAAGGTATAAAGTATATAGAATGGTTTTCGTTCGTAATTCAAATATAGTTCTAGATAAGTTTAAAAAGAGAACACTGTACGCTTAAGAGGCTGGAATTTGAAACATTTTTGTTTATGGACAACCTGATGAGTGAAAAAAAATGTTGCAATAAATAAATATTTGTTTACAGTACAAAATCAATCAATTAGTACCATTTGAAGATTGGAATTTATCGACAAAAAATGTTAACAAAAACCTGAGAGAAAACAGATAAGGCCCACACTTTTAATTATCGTTTATCGGCGCGTTGTTTTATTTGGGCAGAGAGATATAGAGTTGTCGACCGTAGGCCATCGATACCATAGTAATCCATTTAATGGTTCTGTGACAGTTTTATAGCTCACGATTTTGCGTATTTTTTTCTTGCGTTATCTATACTATTATTATAAAGATATTTTTGTATGTATAAACTTAAAACTACTGGACCGTCTTTTAAACTTCTTGTACCGGTATAATGCATTATACCTAAGTAACATAGGCTCTGTTTATTACTAAAATTTAAAAAAAAATCCAGTTGTAAATTCTGAGATTGAGTAACTAATCAGCTAAGTGTATATTGATACAACATTTGGACTACGCCTTTTAAACCCGGTTTAAAATTGAAATATTAGATTCATAGTATCTACAAATTATTCTGAAGTAGAAATGTTTTTCCTTTTTTTTCTATTATTGCTTAATATAATATATTAAATGAACTAAAAGTACGAAAATAACTTAACTTTGGTGCCTGAAGGGCGGCACTACAGTACAAATTTTAAACTAAGATAATAAAAGATACAAAAAAATACAATTAATACAAAAAACTAAATGACAACACTACAACTAGAAGAGAAAAAAATACAGTTTTTATACCTCATACATCTAACTTAATAATAATCACTCAAATGTATCAACTGAGTATCTCGTGCACTGATAAAAATCTTCCATACGATTTATCCTATCGATCGTGTCGGGATCGTACGATTTAAACGCCACGTCTGGTCCAGTCTGTGTTTTTTGTGTGAAATAGTGCGATGCAGTGATTTCATGGAGACTCGTTCCCACATACACCGACCTCCGACTACGTTTTATGTTATTCAACACAAATACTGGACTAATATAGGTAGTAAAACATCGATATTTTTCTATATAAAAGAATGGTTACCATGGTAACAGAAATGTTTTGTCTATTTGCCGCCAGATTTGATTTTGGAACATAGAAAATATTTAAACTGTCAGTGGCGCTACAACCTGTCACGTGATATTTTATTTTCTTAACAGGCAAATAAATCAGCTTTCTGTACTTAACACGTCGCCACGGTTTGAACCTCCGGAATGAGTGTCGCACGCTTAAGCTCCGCCACCAAAAGAACGAGATTATTCAGTTTCAAGAAAAGTTATAGGTTACAAAACTGACATTTCGTGTGTTTTTGTATCCTCCAATAGAGGAAGAGATGCCCTAGGAACTATTCTTCTATTGAGGAGGATTGCTGGCCGTGTGGCTAAAGCGTGCGACCCTCATCCTTGCGTCCGAATCACGTCTGTGCACCAATACAATTTCCGTTCTTTTTCTCACTTGCTATGTCAGACCAAATTGTCTATGAAAAAAAAAATCCAAGAAACTATAGTGTTTTAGATGGATTATTATTATTAATTCTTCTTCTATCTTGCTTCCCTGACCATCGGTCAAAATCCTCCAACGCTGACTTACTGAATCAGTTGTGTACTGTGACAAGCAGCGGTCAATATTGCCAGTTTATAAAAAAAATTAATAAGGAATAGTTATGCAGATAATACACTACAATTAAAAATATTTTGAAGTCATTGTGTTGAGAGGCCAGTCCACGTGGATAATTAAATATTAATTAAGATGCGACCGTTGTCTTAAACATCGACTTGCGTCATATTTACTTATAATTCCACGATTGTAGACTTGATCACCGACCGGACAGACGCAGAGCCTCCGTGGAGCCTACGGTAACATCCCGTGACGTCACCTCCGGCTTCCGCTCAGCTGATCCGGTCATCGCGTCTAGTGAAAGTCTTAGTCATGTACGGTTATGACTTTTGGACTTGTGAATATTAGTAATACCGTACTATTAAGACCGTACAAGGCTTTGTATAGACCCCTGTGGATGAATAGGACTACAAGAAGAATATAGCGTCTATGCAATTACATTTTTTCGTCTTTAGTTGGAAAGAATATTATAACACTACTAGCTGACCCGGCAAACGTCGTTTTGCCATGTATATTATTTCTAGAAAACATTTTTTTAAGTTCAATAAAAATAACTTTCTACTATAATAAAAAATAGGGGTTGATCGTAAAAGTTTTAAATTAGGGGTTGTTTGTATGCTGTATCATAAAAAAATAAAAACAATTTTTTTTTCGGGTGGACACCCTTATCACTTAGGGGTTTGAAATATAGATAGTAGCTGATTCTCAGACTTACTCAATATACATAAAAAATTTCATAAGAATCGGTCGAGTCGTTTCGGAGGAGTATGGAAACGAACATTGTGAATTTTATATATTAGATATTTACATCACAATGACACAAAACAGGAGAAAAGAGAAAACAAATCGTGTAAATGGGCGGTTTTACTGGTGAAAGCAGTTCCTTTTTTTGTAGGTCTCAAGATGGGAAAGGGGTGGGGGAAGGTTGGAAGTTTAAATCATACTATTATAATATATTTTTAAGGCACGTTTTCGGCAAATATAGATAGATACCAATAGTCAGATGAATACTTTTGTTAAAACGGTTGAGTAAAATTTTCTATTATATTTTATGAATTAATTTGTTAAATAGATTCTAGAGGCTTATAGTAGAGCAGTTTATAAACACAGATTATATCAACTAAAGAGTGATAAGTCAACTGTCAAGGTTAACTAAACAGAACACATCATCGGACCACACCTCGACAAATCATAAAAATTACAAAAAACTAATCACCAACACTTATCACAAAAACGACAAATCAAACAATGATAGTAGCTGACCCGCCCATGGGCAATCAGGCAAACTGTTACACCGGCTACAAATTATAAGCGCTCCGAAACAAATTCTCAAATAGCCTATTTCTGAAATTATTTTAGGCGGATGATACGAAATCGACCAAATATATTTTACGAAATGCAGATAATTTGTCGTTTTTTAAATTTTACTATTATGGGTCTTAAATAATAGTATAATTAAAGGTACTTGTTAAATGTATGTATTTAATATATTATCTAAAGGACAGAGTACAATAATATAGCATTTCTTATTCTCTGTGTGTTTGTTATTAATGACCTCATAAACGGATGTACTGATTTCGATGATTTTAAGAGGATTTACTAAAAAAAAATTAAAAAAAGACATGTCACATGACGTGTCTATATGACAATATCTGTCGGGTACGCTAAATATGAAGCTAATATTTATCATTTTCGTTCCCCGGTTCCCCGCGCTTTGCATCACACGCCTTCCCACCCTCACCAGGTCATCTGTCCAACTAGTGGGAGGCCGTCCACCACTTCGCCGACTGGTCCTCGGCTCCACTCCAGGACTTTATTGGCCCATATTTATCATTAACATTCAAGAACCACAACACACACACATATCTATTAATCATTTATAGTGGACGAAAATTACCAGAACAACAAATAAAAATAAAATGAATTTTAGGTATCAAATTTGGGCAAAGGTTCGTGCCAGACGCAACCAAATCCTTTATAAATGAAGTACAGTAGTCCTTGTATAAAAGCCTAAACAAAATTATAGATGAACGTCGCGATGTATAGGCGGCGTCGATAAAAGATTTCGGTGAAATAATGACAGGCTACAAAGGTTGCATAAAGAATTTTGCGCAAATATTGTCGCTTGCTAACGACCGGACCACCTGCGAAGTGATTCGGCGATCGTAAGCATTAGTTTGGCACATTAGGCAAAGTTAATTTGTTTAATAAAAAATGGTGTTTCGGTTAACATTAATGAAATATTAATTACAATGTGTTTGTGATATATCTTAACGATTGATTGCCTATTGTACAATACCTATCCACTCCCTAACGTTGCGAAGCCATGACGATCTACCAACACGCGGTTTGTAATAAATGTAATACTTATTAATAAATTCAAAATTAAAGTCCATAGTTGATTGTCTGTTATCTTTCCCATTAGAAGACGCTTCATTTTAATGCTAATAACGCTTTTTTTGACGTTAATAACAGAAACATTCTATATAAACAAATAAATAATAAAATAAAAAGCAACACGAAACAACCCCGAGAAGAGTCCTGATTGTAATCTATGGCCATATTGTTCTGCAATGAGCAAACTTTGGCCTTTGCCATAAAGGATTGGAGTACGCGACAATTAGTTACTATAAAACAACTTGAGTGATACTAAAGAAATAATATAACGTATTAAAGTCAATATAGCCAAGTATTGTCTGTGTTTTAGATTATAAATACGTGCAAAAAATGTATTTCTAATAACTACTCAATCGTCATCTTCTAGAATATTCTATTTGGTATAAAATAGTCTTAAGTTTGACTGAGGAATGAAAAATTTGTTTACTATTTCGTACGTTCATTACAATTCGCGCTTCAGGAAATACGTATACATAGCAATCTCTCGTTATTTATACTTAACAAAATAAGGTTAGGCAATAAGGCTTTTCAAACAGCCTTGCTATATTAGTACCTGTAAGTATTTATCACTTACTGGTAAATGTATAATATGAATGGCCGATCATTGAGTCAAGCCGTATACATTTTAAGTGTTTTACTTTATAGTTTTTTAAAGGAATATTGTGAAGTTTACGTTAATTTTATTTTTGTCTAGATCGACCTAAACCGCTGTCCGGCGATGGCATATCCACGGCGGAACAGTGAGTCACGGGCGTCTGCGCGCGCAGACGAGGAAGTATGTGTGATCCTGAACACATCCAGCGCGTGCGCCGCATCGCTAACACTCACTCATTCATAGACCGGCTTTTATGTTTCCCGTATCACCTTGTCATAAGGGCATATACGGTCATATCTTTAACTGGAAGACACAGTATACAGACGCTAACAGTTTCAGTAGTTAATAGTAGTTCATATGTTTAGTTAAAATAAATTGTTCGTTAAAAAACCAAAATACAAATTGTATTCATTTTTAAATAAAATAAAAAAACTGTCTGTGCCCAACACACGCCCTAAGTTTTAAACGTGCTAGTGTACACGCTATATAATATGTTCGCTAGTATTCATAGTGTACATAGATATTTCATAAGTTTGCCGTGGTTAGAATAGGTAGTAAGTTTTAGCAACATAAAAATATGAATGTTTCTAATATATACCATGATTTAGATTATAATATTCTTCTCGAAAATAAATAAATACATTTACATATGATTTAATTGCTGTGCTTTGTTCCATTAGTTGTGTCTAAATAATTATGTCTTATGTAGTTTCGCACTACTTGCCTTATCTAATTTTTTCTCTCTCTCACAGTGGTTGCCTAGAAGGTCGCTCGAAAGCGAAAAGACCGCTACTTGCTCTCCTTTTTTTATTTAATTATTTTAATTGTACTATATTTCTGTATACTTGCAACGAAGAGTTAAAAATAATAAATAAATTAATTAAAAAAACTTTTTGTCTTATGTCTTATGTCCATCGTATAACATATACGATTGTCCATTTATCGAGTAATAACTACAGCCGATCCATCGCTAAATATATGTAAATGTCTCAAACAATATTCTTTGTTCTTGGTAATTTAAGAAGAGTTTACATTGACGTGTTTATTCAATTTCCAGAGCAATAAAACTCCCAAAACTCAGCAATAAAGTGTTGCCCGACACAAATACCATTCACACAAATTCGGGTCGTGTTGGAATCACTCCAAATCGATTCTCTCCGCGACAAGACACTATTCTTTACTTTGAATTACTTACATTCCTTCAACTACTGAGAAATTTAACTCGATACAACTACTTATAGGCTATACTGCATACACATTTGCGTCTGCTATTAGCTGTTAATATTGTTTCAACTAATCGTAAGACTTACGAGCTGTTGGCCTAATGGCTTTAACGTGCGACTGTCATCTCTGAAGTTGTAGGTTCGATCCCTGGCTGTGCACCAATGGATTTTTTTTCTATGTGCCCATTTAGTATTCGCTCGAACGGTGAAGGATAATATCGTGAGGAAACCGGTTTGCTTTAGACCCAAAAAGTCGACGTGTGTCACAGGAGGCTGGTCACCTACTCGCCTATTAGATTGACAAATGATCATGAAACAAATTCAGAAATCTGAGGCCCAGACCTAAGACGGTTGTACCGCCACATATTTATTTATTTTTAATCGCCAGACTAAAAAATAATTATTTTATTACTAGCAGTCCTAGACTTGTTTGCTAGACTCGACGGTAGAAGAACTATGACGTAGTATTACTTAAAACACTTTTTGAAATGTCTAATCTTCAAATACTTGTAAAAAATTTAAATGTTTGCTGTTCAAATCGTGGGAAAATCGATGAAAATTCCTAAGTTTCTTATCATGATAGTTTTGTATTTACTTTGTGATTAGCGTATGGGTTTTCCATTGTTTCCTTAATTCTATGTTTGGTCAAGCGATGATGAAACGGCTTACATCACCTATTATCTAGACTAGCTTTTGCTAGCCTAGGAGTGTGTTTACGTGTTGTTCCCACGAGAATGTAAGTGCGTGCTCCTACTTCACCATGCCTACTGCTGATCGAGGACAAATCTTTTTTCTTTATTTAAAACTGGCAATAAATGTTAAATTAGAAGCATTTAGCATTTAATATGCATTTCTTTTTGACGTTCATAGGTGTACATTGTGTTAACTAAATTAATAAATGATTTTGCTAATAATACTTATGTAACGAATGGTAAAATACTTAAGAAAAAAAATGTGTGCGTGTACTAGGTGTACACACGTAAGAAGTGAAACTTCTTTATGACCTTATTAGAAACTATTTCTTTAAACACAGTAAATTTTGACACACTGTCTAGCATACAATTTACAAATTAA